TGCTACAAAAGAGCATTTGATACAGTCCACTCCTTGTATTGTTTCCTTAAATCTAAATAATCAGATCTTCAATGTAGTCAATGCAATCCGTACAGATACAGGAGGATTAGGGCTACAGATCTGCTGCTATTACTGTACCTAAGGACACAACTGGTATTTATCATCTGCTTTCTCCATCATCAACTCTATATTTCCTCCAACGTTGCTCAGCACTTCAGTGGTCTAAGTTGTTTGTTTGATAGGGTGACCCAGACCTCTATCCCTGAGTGCTTTGAACCCCTAGGTGCCTTTACTTTGTCAGACCATGATTGATAGTGACAATTGCAAAATTGTCACTATCACCAGGAATTGAAGCACCGAGGGGTGCTTGAGTTAGCTCCCTGAATTCCAGATAAACCTTTCCCTGCTGCCATGGTGTAGAAGCAACTCTATCACCTCATGATGATCAAGATCAATACTTCCATTCATACCTGCTGGTCTCACAGGAAAAGGAGCCCAAAATTACCTGGTACAGCCATAGTCCATGTTCATTGGAATCCTGATTATGTCCTGAAGTGAAAGTATCCATGCCCTCCTCCCTCTCTCCTCCGAAATCAGAACTTCTTATCTAGTAGACCCTAAAAATACAGGGGAAGGAAGTACAAATTTGCAACTGGATCACTGGGAGTGATGATGAGAGGGATGCCAATCCTACTTCCACACCTTGACTTCTGGATTCATGTTTCAGCTGTTGCTTCAATGCGTACCACATCCTAGAGAATATCACCCCAGCCCATGGATGCTATCTTGGAGCTGGCACCTTAGCCAAGCTTTTAATAGGTCATTTTTTCATTCTATAAGGTTAGATGCTTCTGAGAGATGCAGTACATAAAGAAATGGATCCCATGGTCACAAACCCATTATTTCATTTCCTTATCTATAAAATGAGATTGCTTGGTCTGTAACAAGTTGTGTGGGAACTCATTGCAGTAAATCAGTCATTCTATAACCCTACAGATGGTGGTACTAGCATGAAAGTAATTAAATAAATGAATATTTCATCTGTTTATAACTGATATGGTCTGCTCACATCTTTTTTTCCTCCCATTCATTGCTTGAGCTCATCCTAACTTATTATGAGGAAATCCATTCTTTTCCTTTTGAAATCTTTGCTCTGTGTTCCCTGTTCCAACTCTTTAAGAATACTGGGGTTTTACTCAAAACCTAGGAAGTTAATCTGACTGTCCCATGTCAAACTGAGGATACCAAATTCCAGCCTGCTCTGCTTCTAGATGCTACTTGATTTTTACTGCTGAATTCTGACCCTGCACTTTCCAGCTTTAATCTGGTGATTCTTGCTGGTCTAAACCTCTGTTGGCCTTGAAGTGCTGTCCCAATATTGGACTCCATGGTTATTATTATCTAGCTTATTCTCATGTGGGTTAACATCATTCCCTCAAATGCATCACCTTAGTCTAAGAGGGTCGTCAGGTACTTCTGGCTTTGACCACAGGCCGGGTAGGACTCATTGATATTTAGGCCGTTCTGCTGAGCTCCATGTTCTTCTGAAGATTTGCTGTTGGAGATCCTCTATACTTTCATGTAAATACCAAAGCCCCTCCTCAGTAATCATCTCTTCATCCTGTGAGCTAAAATTATTTCTTCTAAGCTACTAAAACAAAAATAAATCCAATAAACAAAAGAGGATAATGACATAGGTCACTCAGTGGTCACTTTCTGGGCAACAACTCTCTCATCTTTGAAGCCCAGAGCCACACTTTGTGGTATCTGTAAAGATTCATGGCTCCTGCTCATTGCTGCCCAAGATATCCTGCCTTGGTAATTTAATTTCAGACATTTGTCTATTTGGAGACAGCTGAAAAAACAAGCCCAATCAGACTTCCTTCTCTTGGGCATGAAAGTGGTGCTAGCAGCTGGAAAAGAGGCAGAAACATGAGGGTTTGTGCACAGGCTGGAAGTGTCTTTGTGAGGCTGTGGCTACACTGCTGGCACAGAGGTAAACGGCTGAGTCTCCCAGCTCTGTAAGCTGGATCTTCAGAGTGGAGAATGATCCATGAGGCCTTTCAGCCCAGAATCAATCCTTAACTATTTCAGACTTCTCTGATAGATTATTGTTGTAGAAGGAAATCAGAAATTCCACTGTCTGCCCCAGAATTTGTCTATACCACTATAGGTATAAGTGGCCATAAATGGGGTCACATCTCAGCATCACTTCCTATCTCGTCTCTGTGACCTGATGGTTGGGGTCTGGCCAACTTCAAGTTCTGTGTTTCCTGTGGGAGCAGAAAGAAGCCAGAGATTGAATAAGGGAATAGAATAGAACTAACCGCCTTTAGGTAAGTCAGAGATGAGAATTTCTTATAAGCCCCAATGATTCATCTGCTTCCAGGAGACTATAAATCACCCAACATAGGAGCCAGGTATACATGGCAGGTCAGGGCAGGAATGAGGCCTCTCCTAGGTCAGGCCTCTGGTCATCAGAAACAGAGGAGAGGCCTTCTGAGCTCCCATGGTCCCACAGTGGAGATCTGTTGGCAGCATTAGCCTTTCTGGCAACACCCACTGTCCCTGGAGCGTCCTCTACAGAAGAGACGAGGGAACCTTTGTGTCAGTGCACATCCACCCCAGGACTCAAGGCTCTGCTCAGCCCATGGAGACTGCTGGTATGTGCAGGACTGAGGTGCAATGGGGGAAGATATGGGGTTCAGCAAAGATGGCCCCCAACACAAAGTCCTGTTCTGAAATGTCAGGAGGCCATCAATTCTTACTGCCTATTGTGAGCAACAACCCAAGGGCATCAGACTCTATGGCTGATAATGCAGGATGTGAAGACCTGAGGTACTAGGATTAAAGAGGCAGAAAGAAAAAGAATCAAGCCTGAAAGTGTTATAGCTGGAGTGTAAGAGAAGCCAATGAAGAGGTGGGACACTGAAGGAGCAGCAGAGAGTGAACCAGAGAACAGTGATCCAAACCTGATGAGGGGACTATTGCCCTCAGTGGGAGGAATGGACAAAGCACTTGGTGAGGGAATGAGGTGTTTTGAAAAAGTTCTGAGCATATTTGGAGCTGGGAACAGGGCTGAGGTCCAGGGTCTAACTTGCATAGAAAGAGAACTCAGAGAATAGTACCTACTGGAAGGAGAATTGATAGGACTGCTGTGGACAGAGTGTAAAGTGTCTTATGAAAGATTTCCCAGGGGCACCAGCTGATTAGAAGATACTTGGAACAACTTAAACTTGAGCGTGTCTGTCCTACTTTCAGCTGCAGGCACAGTCTTGTTCAAGACAAAGCAGGGTGCCACAGGCTGTTGCCTTCTGTTCCTGGAAATGAGCATTGCCATATCCAGTGAATTGACAGCAGCGTTATGGTCTGAGATTTCTGTCTAGGGCCCTATAGGAAATGAACTGAGCCTTGGTTGCCCCCACAGCTTCCTGGCTGGACCCAGGAGGTTTGTGCACAGGAAGAAGGTGACTCTGCAGGGCTGTGTCTTTGCTGCTGGCACAGAAATACACGGCAGAGTCCTCTGGCTCTAGGGCGTCCATGTGAAGGCATAAGACGGAGCTGTCTGGACATTCAGGTAAGAAGCGACTCAGAACAGTCTTATTTTCAATGAGTTCCTTATTGTTGTAGAAAAACATGAGCTCCGGTGATTTCTTAGCATTCTTTTTATCCCAATACATAGAATTATGTTCCAGATGTTCACCCTTCTGGGTCCCTTTACTTCCCATCGCTGTCACCAGGTGTTTTGGTATCTGGGTAATTCCAGTGTGCACAGAGCCTGTGGGAGCAAGAAACCAAATATAGCGAGTCTTATGAGGCAGTTCCATGAAAAAGCTAGAAGTCCAAGGACAGAGATGTCCTACCTGTTCCCAGGACTCACCTGCTCCCAGAAGACAAGGGACCATACAGCAGAGGAGCCTGGAGCCCATGTCAGCGTCAGACAGATGGGACCTGGTGTCTCCCTGCTCAGGTTTCTGTCCTCTGGGTCTTTTTCTCCGGCTCTGAGAGAGAGTTTGCTTAGGAAATCAATCCCCCTGTTAGTTTCTACAGCTCACATGTCCTCTTTCCCTTTCCTTCCCTGCACTGGCACCTTAAGTGGTGGGTTTGGACTGGCTTGGCAGTACTGAGTGTACACAGACAGGTTCAGAGGAGTAGACCCAGCCCCCAGCTGCCCCAAGGAGGTTTCTCAGACAGTTGCTTTTTTTTCACTAGTAGCTTCCTCCCCTCATCCCCAAATGAATACCTAGGTCTTTCCTTCCTCTTTCTTCTTTATAGCATCTCCTCCTCCCTTTTAACACACATTCTTTCCCTTTGAGCAGGTATCCTCCCCCACTGCCTCTCATGGATCCAAGACAATCCCATTCAAGCCTCATCTTGATTTAACTCAGAGTGGCCACCTTGCCCAGCTCATCAGAGCTTTTCCCTGGAGCCAGCTGTGCAACTTTTTAAGACACAAGAATTTAATGCTAGCTAGTTAGGAAGTATCCCTCAGTGGGTGCTGAGGGGGATATGAGAGGAATACCCTGCAACCTGTGTCCTAAGGAAGCATCTCACCTACTCGGGGTGCTGAGCCTGAATATGGAGCGGACACTGACCGAGGAAGCTGCAAGAGCTTAACAAAAGTCCCTGAGGGACACGAGCCAAAGGGACTGCAGACACAATGCTATAGAGGTGGCAGAAGTTCAACGTGGAAAAGACTTCACTGTCTCTAAGTTGTCCACACACCATCTCCCACCTAGAACAAGGAGCAAACCCTGATGCCAGAGCATTGTCTTCCTTCCTTAGCCCCTCCCTCCCTTTCCCCTTTCTTTTCTACCAACCAACCCAGGAGTTTCAGTAAAGCCACAGCTCCTTTCAGCGGTCATCTCAGTCCTCTGACTCCAGTCCTCCTGATAGAGCATTGGGAGCACAGAGATCTGTTCGGGGATTAAACAGGGACATTTAACGCAAGGAAATACATAGGCCAAGGAGGCAGTTGAAGCACCAAAGAAAAGGTTTAGCAATGAAAACTTTCACCTAGTGGTGAAACATCCCAAACCACCACCACCATGTCCACACTTGCTTAGGATACACATATGTATATAAAATTCAATAAGTATTTGTGGAACACATACGGTATGCCAGGTGCTGTTCAAGGACTAGGAATAGGGAAGTGAATCAAACAGATTCTCATGGAACGTATAGATTATTTTAATTTGTTCAATAAGCATTCGTGAATAAGGCAATATTCTCATCCTCAAAATGCTTCTAGACTTACAGGAGCAATAAAAGATGTTTGCAGATAATGCCTAGTTTGGAAAGTTTTAAAGTGTATGTTTTAGAAAGGTTAAAATAGAATTAGTTTTTAGCTGGCTAAATCATTTCATTTGCTCACCCTCTCATTCTTTATCCAGCAGACCTGGATGAGGAGAGAGTCTGAAATAATTATCCCCAACCCTCTGTCCAACTGTGAAACAGTATGACCTTATCAGGATAAATTTCCACCCAGATGTTGACTAAGCTGGTGTGTCAGGACCTTCCAGTGTCCCTGAGCCCTACCAAAATACTTAACACTTTGCAGGCACTTGATATGTGCTTGTTTAGAGAATGAATGAATAAACGGACGCAATGGAAAATAGTAAGAGACCGCATGTAACAGGTAAGTCTAACCATTAAAAAATTGTTTTTAATGTGGTATGGTTGGCATGGTGTATTTATATTCGTGGCTTTACAGAAATTAGGGGCATGATATCAAGATACAAAGCTGAAATGTAAATGATAAAAATAAATTTGCCTGGCATGAGGTGAGCTTTTGGTACTAATTTTTGTTCTAAAGGATATGTATAGAATGATATTTTTTCAATGTGTATCAAGCATTGTCCAAATGAATAGAAAAATTGTTTCCCTTGTTAAACCAGGCTTGATGCCAGGGCTCCCATCGTTCTCTGAGTAACTTCTTACTTCATGGTATAAGAAGATATTCTAGGCTCATCTTGTATGTTCACTGCCCTCATCTTGGTAGCAGCTATTTCTCCAAAGAATCCTGGCTCTTTTTAGTGGATAATAACATTCAGAAAACAAGATATGGCCTCTAGATCTGGGCTTTTGGAGTGATATTACCCTCACATCATCACAGTGGACAGAGCTAGGGAAAATATGTATGCATATTTATGTACATAAATAAACACACAGTACTAGAAGTTCTAGTTAATACAAAAAGGCAGTAAAAGGCATTTATATCAGAAAAGAATAAAAAAAAAATGCCCTTCTTTGCAGATGACATGGTTGTCTATATATAAATCCTAAGAAATCTAGCCCAAAGCCCACTTAGAACTAATAAGTGAGTTTAGCCAGGTTGCAGGATACAAGATAAACACACAAAAATGAATTATATTTTTATATGCTAGCAATGAGCACACAGATACTGAAATTAAAAATACATTCATGATTCCAGACTAAGGGCTTCCATAATTTCAGTGTTTTGCAACCCTGGCAGCGTATTACAACCACTTCTAAGATGTATTTAAGAATACTGATGCCCAGGCACCATCCTCAGAAATTCTGATATAATTAATTGGTCTGGGGTGAGGCTCATCAGGTGATTTTATTCTGCATATACATCAAGAACTGTAGAGACTTGCTCTTAGCACATTGCAGGAGAAGAGATGATCAGCTTCCTGAGCCAGTGACTAATGAAGTCATTCCAGCTTAATCGTATTAATCTTACCTGCTACTTTGTTTTCTATTCATTAATCTTGAAAATTGTTCTTACAGTTAATCACCCCATTAACTTAACATTCACTATTTGGATAGAGTAGACAGTTTAGAATGAAGCAGGAAGATGTAGGACTCCAAGACAGAGTTCTCCAGAAAAGAAGAGTTTCTATGGACTATATGATATAATACATGACATGTAAAGATACACGAAACAAATTAAAAATAAGTATATGGAAGTTCATGCAAATGGAAAAACATTGCTTTTGTTTTGTAAAAATACAAAATCTAAACCAGAAAAGGAATAAAATCAGACACAACTCCACAGTAAATGAAATTTTCATAATGATATAGTCACTGGTCACTAATTTAATTAAAATTGTAATAATTTGGGGAAGATAAGAGGGAGAAGTGAGATCTTAAAGAGTTAAATTCACATCTATCATAACAAAAAGTGAATATAAAATATCTGCTATTGATAAATCAGTCAGTAGCAGCAGAAGCTTATCATTAAGAGGTGTGGAAATAATTACTGGAGAAGTTCAAGTGCTTTTCTCTGTGAAATAGGACTGATACAAGCGAGGGAAAAGGGCAGTGGCCTATAGTTTTTCAGTACAGGCCTTGTAGTACTATTTGATTTTATTAAACATGGGTATGTTTTACTTCGATTTAAAAAAAAAGTTGTTTTAGCTGCCTTACCTTTCAGAAAACTATTCTAACTGACTGTGCGTGACTCTGACATGCTGCTGAGGTGCAGGGTGTATATCAGCGCCTGTAACCGAGCCATCAGCACTGAGCTTGGGAACCTTAGTCAATCATTAGTTTCTGACCACAGAATCCAAGGTCAAGGAAAGGGCATATAACGATATACTGTTCCTGCAAGAGACAGAGCAGAAAACAATGGTCTGCAGTAGAATTACGACATGCAAAGACAGTCTATTCCTAACTTAATACGTTGGCCTGAGAAACCCAGTTTTGGCAAATTTTAAAGAGAAAACTGTCATAGAGTTTGAATGAAAGGTCCAGCAACACAGCCTGGTAAATTGTTGTACTCTAAAGGACACAGCGTGAGCCCGAATTTGCCTTTCACAATCTGGCTCCAATTATTGGGTACATGCCAGGAGATTGATCAAATCCCTAAATCTGTTAAGGATAACAGGAGCCAGGTTTCTCAGTATTGGATAAGGGAGTTGCAAATATGGAAAGGGAGAACGCTAGAATGAACCTTATAATATTGGAATTGGAACTGGAAGTATTGATGTAAACTCGTGGTTTTACAATACGTGTAGATAGATACAGAATTAAAGATACATGTAAACATATAAAGAAACCCGTGCAATTGCCACCCTTTCTCCCTCGCAGATGCCCTCCTCACCCTGCTTGGGATCTGACACCCCGTGCCAGGGAGCACACTCATGTTGAAACCCTCTTCACCTCAGTCTAGTTTCTGACACCCCACATGGGGCATGCCCTGCCCAGTATGGATGCCCTTCTCAATCTGCTGTGGCTTCAACAGCACCCAGCTGCTGTCCTTTTCCCATCTGGGCTCCACCACCCCACTTCCTTAGGAATGCCTTCCTTACCTTCATAGTCTGTCACCACATCTGGCCTCCCTCCTACACAGATACAAAGAAATGCGCCAGTTTAGACCTCCGACCATAAAGATACTTCACTTCACAGGGTGCTTATTAAATAATTTGAGGCAACTGATTGGTGATGGGTGGGATAGCAGGCCTCTGGACCTTGTATATCTCCCATATGTCTAGACATGTCTAGACAGGGTGATCATTGCAACTAATGAATATGTTTGCAACTTGCCTGGACTCCTCTGAGCCATTTGTATTTCTCTCTTCTTTTTCACCCTGTTGTCCAGGAAGCAATGTCAATTTCTTGCTTTTTTCTGAAGCAAACATTTTATGTTTAAAACCCTAGATTTTCCCTTTCTTCCGTCCTATACTAATACTATTGTCATGTGCGTACTTGTCTCCCTTACTGAATTTTCTCTTTTTAAGTTCATGGGTTATATCTTTTCAAATTTTTTTTTTTAAGTTTCCCACATATTATTTTCCACAATTTTATTTTATTTATTTTTAACAGCTTTATTGAGGTATAACTGATATATAAAGAGCTGTACCTATTTAACGTGTACAATTTGATGAGTTTGGACATACGAAAACACCCATAATACCATCACCCACAATCAAGATAACAGACATAGCGTAATTACTTTCTTTTTTCT